AGATCTTGTCAGTTTGTTGTTATTTGAGCACGTGAAATCCGCTGCTTGCACTGTATGCTTACCGGGAAGCTGAGAATGTTTCTGAGTGTTCTAAAGTCTACTGGGGTAATAATAATAGTTGTCAAGCACATTGAGCTGTCTGTAGAGCGTGGATATGCGCTATATAAATGCAGTTGTTATTATTATTGTTATTTTATGTCCATAGCTGCTGTTCCCTTCTTCTTCGGACCCATCTCAAAGTCCGTCTGCTTATTGTTCCAGTTAGATATTGTTGGAGATGTGTGGGGCAGGACCACACAGGTTGTTGAATCTTCCTGTTGCCCTTTTGCTTTCCCTCTTCCTTACTCCTCTCAAGTGTGTGGGAATGGCATAGATATTAGCAGAGATTTTTTAAAGAACAAACATGAGAAACAAGCTTGTGTCACTAGAGATCTCTTTTGGGGGACAGAGCTAAAGAACATGTTAATTCAGATGAGAGTACATGGGACTAAAGCAGGAAACAGCTAGCATCAGATGGGAGCTTTTCATCATTAAGATGGTAAAAGTTTCGCGGCGAACAGCTCTTTGGTGCTACATTTTAAATTGCTGATATTATAATATGTATATAAGATGATGTTATATTTTGGAGAATTGGGTCGTTGGCGGGTGCTCTGGTGTGGTAAGCTCCTTCTTTCCTGTCAAACCCCTATCATCTTGATGTTGTTATAGATCCAGATCATCTTGATGTCCTCTCCTACTTTTTTTTGTGTATGTTACTCTCTTGTAACACATCTATTCTTCGGCACTTTAATGGCCTTATTGTATTGCAAGTGCCATAAAACTCTTACTAAAATTAAAATCTGTTTGTCTCTCTGGAATATTCTGAAATGATATTATATTCAGGAGAATTGCTATAGCAAGAGACAGAAAAACAGATACTAATTCCTCAAACCAGCTGTGTAAAAATTATTGTACTTTGTGCTCCTCAGAGTGGTAGTCCGCGTGTGTACATGGATGTGGAGGGCTGGCAGCGTTACCTGCCTCCCCTTAAACGACACAACAGTGAGTCACCAGATTCTTTCCATATTGTTTGTCTTTTTTTCTTCCTTAAATTTCAATGTAGGGGTTTTTAATGCCCCCATCAACACAGATTAGATCATATGGGAGGCCTGGTTCCAACCGTGTAAGAGGGATACAACATCCCAGCAGAAAGACCGAGATACTTGATAAAATGTGATTCCTCCGCACTCGGGTGTGTGCGTATGGTAGGGGACCTGCTGCTACGCATGCCCTTGTTTCATTCTTATAATAATTGTACTTGCAATGTGTATTTTTTCTTTTTCGACGAAACATTTCGTGAGCACATGAAACCGATCTCACGGATTAAGAAACTGCAATAAAATAAATCTTCAAAATGTTGAATTAATACATTTTAACAGCTAGCTGAGACTTTTATACTTTACTATCTATACTAAAACACCATATCATCCTGGACTTTACTTTTGTCTTTCCTCAGGTACGTTTGTCCCCAAAAAGGACGGTGTGTGTATGGTGGGGGACCTGCTGCTACACATGCCCCTGTGCCTCTACTGCAGCGTGGTCAACGTCGGCTGGAAGGTTTGTAACCTCTTCTACTCTCATGATCTATTTTTAATTTGTTGTAACTGCACATTTGTGGTGACAGTTGAGTCGATAGTGCCGTAAAACACCTATTCAAATAAAAAAACAAAAAAACCAAAATATTTGTGGCGAGTGTTTCTCTTTCCTTTTTACTCTGAAATACTCATCAGTAGTGGAATTTCTCTCAGGGCTACACTTCTCCCTTCGAGACCTAACATTGACAACACACTCTATGAAACATTACAGCAACTGCAGCAAACCTGCACTTATCACTACATGGCATTGAGCAGAATGGCGAAAGTACAACTGTTGCTGGATCGATAACAACATTAGAATTTCTCTTCTATTTTAACTTTCTTAATTACTTCCAGATATTTTTTCTCCTCTCTTTTCCTTCTTATTTGTCTGTAGATTTTTTTTCTTGACCTTTGTCTGAACATGCTGGTTCCTAATCTATAGAACAAGTCATTTCGTATAGAGTTTTTTGTTGGCTACAAACCTTCGGGGATTGTTACTTTTGGCTTTTATTAAATCAGTACTTCGGTGTCAAAATTTTAAAGTTTCACAATATGTCAAGTTTTTTCAAATGCAGTTCTTTGAATATCTTTTTAAACGACTCTGAATAATCTTATGATTTTGATGAGCAGACAGAGCATGAAGTTTGGTCTAAGTAGCTCTTATGCAGTTGCGAGCGCCGTAAAACCCTCTACAATAAAAAACAAAAAAAAAAAAAAAACTCAAAACGGCCAAAAATGTCAGACAGAACTTTGTAAATCTGAGGTAGTGAATGGGTGGCCTTATAAAGACAATTTTTACTATTTTGTTATTGCCATTATTGCCGTGATACTGTGTGTCGTAAGAAGCGACTAAAAGTGCATAGGTCTGGTCGCCCGAAAAGTGCCAGTTTGCGGAGGGCCAACTACCCAACCCAGTAAAAAACAATAAGTTACAGAAACACGGACAAAGACAATTTTTACTATATTGTTATTGCCATTATTATGATACACACCTCTCCCTCCTCCGCCTGCACCCCCTCCTCTTTCTTAGGTGGATGGTCTGAAAGAAGCCCTCGCCGATCCGGAGACGAGGTTGTACCCCCTGGATGCCCTTCCGTGCGAGCTTCTCTCCCCTTTGCTGTACAGGCGGAAGTACATCGCGCGGATCGTGGACTCGATCCAGACGCTCTGTCAGATGGGTGTGGTCACCTTTAGCCCCAAGGGAATCAAGAGAGATTACGAATATGTAAGATTTTAGAAAATACAACTCTTTTTGGGTTTTTGTTTGGTTTTAGTATGAGTTTTACTGCTCTTATAATACGAGCTGGCAATTCTCCTCAACTGTGAATGGCCAGTGTAAGAAGTAGTAGTAGTAGTAATATTACTATTATTATTATTATTATTATTATTATTATTATTATTATTATTATTATTATTATTATTATTATTATTAATACAAGACATCTTTCCCACCTACTGCCGGGCACCCAT